ATACTCTAGCAAAATGGAAAGAATGACTGTAGGAGTGGGTATAGATGCAAGAAGACTATCCAAATGTTAATATTTATTAAATCTGAGCTTTAGATACATGGAAATTCATTATGCAATTCAAGTTTTGCTTAATATGTCTCTGTCTCATAGATATATCCAAATTTTAAACATTGAAATGGAAATCTAATTTTCAAAAATAATGATGTAACACAAGGTCAAATTATGAAAATTTCTTAATATAATTAAACACCTTGAGGGAATGAGTTATTTTGCTATGGGGCTCAGAATCATGGACTCACGGGACACCAAGGTCAATGGGCATCACAAAGACAATGTTCTATAACCTACATTTGCTGAGTAATTTCTGCAGCTTTAAAAACTCATGAGTGGCCATCTAACGTACAAGTATGGTCTCTCCCTGTCCAGAGGAAGGAAGGTTGAACAAAATTGAAGATGCAAAGAAACTATTAGCCCAATGGACTAACTAACCATGCAAACATCTCCACAATCCTAAGACCAGAAGCACTAGATGGTAAAAGAAAAAGAAAAAAAGAACTAGATGGTGCCTGGCTACCACTACCAACTACCCTGCAAGAGATTATCATCACATTGGATAGAGTAGGAGAAAAGTGTGAAGCAAAACTCAAAATTACCCAGCCCTTAGTCACTTTTCAGATCTGAACATACATATCCCCCTGGTTCAATTTTTAACGAAATAACAGACAGGTCTATAAGGAGGACAGTGACACTACGGAACTGAAGAAACCTTAGAAAAAATGAACCATTTGAGATCTAAAGAGCAGAATTTGTACCCAAGAAAAAAATTTAGAAGGGTTTGAAAAGAAGTGGAAACAGGAAGCACAGGGAGTAAGTGAGACAAGTGGTATTATATTGTGGGGTTGCAATCAATGACATGAAACAACTATGTATGAATTGTTGAATGGAAAACAAATGTCTCGTAAATCTTGACTTAATTTACAATAAAAATTTTGAAAAGCAAATAAGTATTGATGTAAGGTTCCTGAAGGGCTGAAGAATTACAAATAATCTGATTTGAAAGGACAGAAGTTTTTTCCCCATTTTACTGGCACAGCCAATAATGCTGTATTTAGTGAGGAGGAAAAAAGAAATGGTGCATTGAGTTATAGCAAAAGCTAACGTAAAGAAGTGAAGATAGTAAACACAGGAAGAAAATGGGAGGAATGTGTTACACTGTGGGGATTGCAATCAATGTCATGAAACAAAGCATGTATGAACTGTTGAATGAAAAACACATTTGCTCTGTAAACTTTCAGTCAAACTACGATAAAAAAGTTTAAGTGAATATAAGGAGAATTTCAATGTAAAACAAGGATAGAAGAGGACAAAGAAAAGATTAACAAACTGTTTTTGTTATTGTTAGGTGCCACTGAGTACATTACAATTTACAGTGACCCCATGCACAACAGAACAAAACACTGCCCAGTCCTGTGCCATCCTCACAATTGTTCTTATGCTTGAGCCCATTGTAGGAAGGCAATTGTTCCCTTTCAACAAGATTTCAAAGCAATAAGTGGAAAAATTAAGGGGATAAAGATAGTATTATTATCATGAATGGAGCAGAAGAAATCATAGTTAAATAATTATATAGAGATTCATTTCTGCACAAATGAATGAAAATTTAATAATTTTAATGGTCCTACTACTTATTAGGTATACGAGGGGGTACCCAAAAAAGACCCGAATTGAGCTGGGTGGAGTGGCACTTTCATAGCATGCATTTTTCTCACTAGGTGAGCATCAAGCAACTTTCTCTGAGTTAGTGCACCCAATGGCGTCACCTGGGAAGGTTCTCTCTGGTCACAGTGAATTTTTTTGTAAAAGCATTTCGCTTGAACGTCATTTTTTGTGATGGCCAATGTAAGAGAATAGTGTGCAGCTGTGAAATTTTGTTTTCTGCTTGGGGAAAAATGCCACAGAAACTGTTGTGACGTTGAATATAGCTTGCACTGACAGCACTATGGGAAAAACTCAAGTGTACAAGTGGTTTTCTTATTTCAAAAAAGGTGAAATGTCAATTGATGACAACCCTTGTTCTGGACATCTGTCAATTTCCCTAACAGATAAAAATGACAATTCCGTAGTCCATTTGGAGTTTGTTCCACCAGGTCAGACTGCTAATCAAGCTTTCTATTTAGAGGTTCTGAAAAGATTGTGTAACAGTGTGTAACAAAAAAGGCCTGGTTTGTGGCAAATAGGGAACTGGTTTTGCCACCACAACAATGCCCCTGGCTCCCACAGCCATCTCAAGTTAGCCAGACTTGGGCAAAAAACAGTGTGCCTTCTCTTGCCCCACACACCTTACTCACCTGACCTCACTCTGTGCGACTTCTTTTTGTTTTCACGAATGCAGACGGACATTCGTGAGGGCAGATATTTGAAGACACAGACGAGGTGAAGAAAAACACAAGGGAGGGGCTGTCAAATGCATTAAATAGAATGGAGAGCACTTTGAAGATGATACGATTGTTTTGTAAAAAAAATTAAATACATAGCTTTGAAAAAAATTCCGGGTCTTTTGGGGTACCCCTCCTCGTACTTCAGAGAATAATAGATCTCCTGGGATCTGTTTAACCCTGAAAGGAACCGATAGTTCTGTTAGCATCAATTTTAGACTTCTACATCAGTGAATTGAGAATATTCTCCAGAGAAATAAAAAGAAAAAAAAAACCAAGATGACAGCTATCTTTGCTCTAATCTTCTTTCTCTAGTTTGAGTTTTTGCTGCAATGGGTTAGTGATTCAAATCCAAGCCATTCTTTCCTGGGAAGGAAAATGAGCTGTCTGGTCCTATAAAGTTTGATACTATTAAAAACCCATGGAGTAGTTCTACTTGTACCAGCAGGGTTGCTCTGAGTTGGATCAATCAAGGGCAGTGAATGAGTACTAACAATGGGTGCTGGTCTGAGTATTTACTGTCTTTTTAAAATTCCCATGTTAAGAATATTGTTAACTTTGGGCTAAAAATGACCATCAAACAGATGTATAATTTATCAGCATCATTTTCTATGAGCAATTGGTAGATATTATGAAATCTTATGGTGAACAGCTATGATTAAAAGACTAAAATGCCAGAATAACATAATCCACACTTTATTAACTAATAAACACTTGTTATGTGCCATCAAGTTGATTCTGACTCATAACAATCCTCTATGACAAGAGCAGAATTGTGCCTTAGGGTTACTTAGGCTAGACTCTACAGGAGCAGATCTCCAGGACTTTTCTCTGTAGAGTGGTTGGTAGGTTCAAACTGTTGACCTTTCTGGTTAGCAGCTGAGCACTTAGGTGCCACCAAAAAGATAAACAAAAACTTCACTGCCATTCAGTTAATTCCAACTCACAGCGATCCTATAGGACAGGGTGGAGCTCCCCCTGTTGGTTTGAGACTGTAACTTTAAAAAATCATTTTATTGGGGGCTCTTACAGCTCTCATCACAAGGCACTGTGTCAAGCACATTTGTACATATGTTGCCATCATCATTTTCAAAACATTTTCTTTCTGAGACCTTGGTATCAGCTCATTTTCCCCTCTCCCACCATCCCCCACTCTCCCTCCCTCTTGAACCCTTGATAATTTATAAATTACTATTTTTTTCATGTCTTACACCAACTGCTCTCTCCCTTTACTTTTTTATTGTCCGGCCCCCCGGGAGGGGGTTATATGTAGATCACTGTGATCAGTTCCTCCTTTCTCTCCCCACATGAGACTATAACTCTTTACAGGAGTAGAATGCCTCTTCTTTCTCCTGTAGAGGCTGGTGATTCAAACTGCTGTTGCAGCTAGCAGCCCAACATGCAGTAACCACCACACCACTAGGACTCTCACTGTACCACCAAAGCTCTTTTAATAATAACTAACGTACTAGCATTCCAAAAGGAATGGACTCACAAAGAAAACACATTCATACTAAAGACTGCAAAACCATGGATCTGTAGGTCTATGGCACTGTAACCTTTTGTTTTTACTATTACTGCAAACTAGAGGAGAAACTTCCTTTTCTGTAATGTTAATAATAAACTCTAGATAACAAATGTTCCACAACAAAAACAAACCCTCTAGAGCACAGCATGGGCTAATAGCCCTATTTAATTTTGATTCAGATCAAATTTCAAACAGCAGTAATATAAAATATCAAAGAATGTCATTAAATCAAAAATACAAAATAAAAACTAGCAATGCAGTCAGTTTCCTAACTTAAATTATACCATAAAATAATTGCATTATAATAAAAAAAATTAAGAGTCCTAACTAATAAAATTGTCCTACAAACTGACAACAGTACCAGAAAGAAATATACTATATGAAACTCAAGTTAATAAGGATCAATATATAATGGGATTTCTAACCCATTGTGAAATTGATTTGAAGACAACTTACTTAGTGAGATTTAAAAGATGTTAACATCCAAAGACACATGTTTAGAAACAGAGTGGAAACAATTCAGAAATATGTTGGTTACAAGAAAAAAATTAACAAATTTACAAGTACCAATTTTGACAGTAATTTCTATTACAGAGGAATGTATTCGCCAATTTATCTGCTCTCAACTTAACTATAAAAAGAAATTCTGAAAGTAAATGATTCTACCCAATTATATATTCATACTACTACTAGTTACTGAGTAAAGGGTCAGCAAAAAAGAAGACCCTCAAAAAGATGCACTAACACAGTGCTTAACAATGAAATAACAATAGACTCAAATACAGGAAATACTGTGAGGATGGCACAGGACTAGGCAGTGTCTTCACTCTGTTGTACGTAGGGTGGTTATGAGTCAGAACTAACTCTATGGCACCTAACAACACTAGCCATCGATGACATTTCCAAGAAAAAATGTTTAGCATATTTACAGGTAACTGACACCAGAATATTCAATTAGTGCTTAAAAATGTAGTCATGTTTTAGGATTGATAACAATATATTATCAATCGCTTGGCACGGCATACAAAACCACTTACCTTGTAATTTTTTCAATACAGCAACCTCCATTTTCAAGACTTGTTTTGGTTGTTGAGCTGATTCCACCTTCAACGCAACATTTTCCCTGGTGAGCATGTCCAAGGCATCGTAAATTTCTCCAAAGCCCCCACCCCCAATCTTCCTCAACTGCATAGAAAATAAAATGAGAACATACACACACACAAATTACTAGAAGTTCTAGTTCATACTTACAATATAATATATAATTTTACTATCTGTATTTTATAAAAAAAGTATTTCAATATTGTTAAGCTTGTTATGGGCTACTGAGTCAATTTTCAACTCACAGTAACCCTCATGACTAAGCAGAACTGCCACACTGGATTTCTTAGGCTGTAACCTTTACAGAAGCAGCTTGCCAGTTCTTTTCCTCAATTTTTAAACTGTATATTCCAAGAAGAAAAATACCTGAAAATAGCATAAGACCTTTTCTCATAGTCTTGTCCACAGAAAGTAATGAAATTATCTGTCACAATTTAAAATTTGGTGTACAGCCAATATCAGAAATGTAATTTTTTAAATAAAATGTATACAAAAACATCACTTCCCATAAATATGTGAGGAAAATTCCATTTTCCCAAAAACTTTCTGAAGCTGCCTCACATTACTAAGTAACCAGGTTTGTAGTTTTAATTCTAAGGCATTAATTTGCCAGGTTTCTTTTAGCCCTGAGATCCCCCTGTTAACTGAAATCTTATCTGGAACCAATCTCATTGAGATGTGTAGGTGGGGTTGGGCAGTCAGAGCCCAGTCCTCTCAGCATTTTTGGTCCTCCTCTCCAAAACACGTGCTCCTGAAAGTCAAAGACTGTAGCTTTCAGTATGGACTACAACTCAATGTAAAGAAAATCAAAATCCTGAAACTGGATCAATAGGTAACATCATAATAATGGAGAAAAAGTTTAAGTTGTCAAGGGTTTCATCTTGCTTAGATGCACAATCAATACTCATGGGAACAGCAGTCAAAAGATAAACAACACATTGAATTGGGTAAATCTGCGGCACAAGACCTCTTTAAAGTGTTGAAAAGCAGCAATGAGATTACTTTGAGGACTAAGGTGCACCACAGGCCATGATATTTTCAACTGCCTCATATGCATGTGAAAGTTGAACACTGAATAAAGAAGACCAAAGAAGAATCAATGCATTTGAACTGTGGTGCTGGAGAAGAATATTAAAATGCCATGGACTGCCAGAAAACAAACATCTGTCTTGGAAGAAGTACAAGAATGCTCCTTAGAGGCAACGATGGCAAGACTTTATCTCATGTACTTAGACATGTCAGGAGAGGTCAGTCCCTGGAGATGTGGTAGTCACCTAATCTAGTGTCAATTTGAGGATTAAGCGTGTAGGGGTGGAGTCTAGCCTGTCAATCTGGAGATAGCCAATGAGACCTCTGTGTGGGCATGGCCTTCTCCTGAGAATTCTGGGAAATCTGGTACTTCCTCCTTGGAGGTAGGAGACACTTCTCTCTCTGACACTCCCTGGGAGACATAGCAGCTGACAAGACACATAGGCCCGCCCTGAAGCAGAGACCCCTGCCAGCACTGAGATGTTTCCAATGCAGAGACCCCTGCCAGCACTGAGATGTTTCCAATGCCACGGGATCCAAGGACTTTCTACCCACTGGCCTGTGATCTTCTACATTAAGCGTCATTGCAAGTGTTTCGTGAGTCTGAAGAGGACTTTATATAGATTGGTATCTGACATATGGGCTAATATCGGACTATGGACTTGATCTGGACTGTGCTTGGATGTTTTCTCAATGTTCAATTACTCTTGTATATAAATCTTCTTTTCTTTTTAATTTGACATGATTTTCATTAGGGTGGGGTGGGGTGGTGATGGCAAAGAGAAGACCAACATCCAAGATAGGTAACTTAAAAGATACAATGATTTTCTTTCTTATTTTTTTTTAAAAGGAAGAAAGAAAAGGTTAACAAAAAAGGCATTCAAAGCCCATGAGTCAAGCCATAGCCCAAACTATGTTCTATCTTAAGTAGGTTCTCTTTCTTTCTCTCTTTAATAAAATCTCTCCCCAAACCATCATTACTTATAATCATCCCCAGACGGGGCTTCATCTTCAGACCCTTGATCCCCGGATTTCCCTGGAGGGGGACTGACAAAGGCTTTCTTTTCTGGAGGGCTTTCTGGCTCATCTTTGGGGGAAGGAGTCTTTTCCTTTGATGCCTTTGAAGCTGTGGGACGGCCCGCTCCGCCTTTGCCTTTCACAGGGCTCAGTGTCACTGTTGCCTTTAGCCTGGGTTTAGGCATTTTCTTTTCTTTTCTCTCAGGTTTGGATTTCTTAACCATCTTTTTGTTTTTCTTTTTTGAAATGCCATAATCACTGTCGCCATCGTCTTCCATTAGAAAATCGTCATCAATGCCAGAATCTTTTTCTTGGAATGGTGCCTTGTCCTCTTCTTGCTCTTCCTCACTGCCCACATCCTCCATGCACATTTCTCGCTGCTTCGAAGCCGCTTTTGATGCTGCCTGCCGCTGCTGGTGTACATTTGTATGATCTTCTTTTTCATGTTCACTATCCTCTGCTGAGTGAGAGTCATCCTTCTTAGTCTTCACATCTTTATCTTCAGAGTCCTCACTATCTTCCTGAGAATTCTTTCCAGATCGCCACTTATTTTTAGCTTCTCGGGGAGATGATCGACTTTTCTTAGCTGGAGGACCCGAATCTCTTCCATAATCTTCATCAGCATCACGAGATTCCCGAAACGGAATAATCAACAACTTTCCTATTTCTGACAGGCCAAGACATGTTCGCTGTCAAAACAGGACCCAGTCGAGAGGGAAAAGACCAGGACACCGCCACCCCACCACGTGCGCTTGGCACGCCCCCCCAACTTCAGCTGATATTGCCGCTGCAGCTGAACCCCAAACTGGTGGTCTCTCAAACTCAGTCGCTTCTTGCTTCAAAGCCCCTTGAACAGACGTGTCAGAGATGGTTTAGCATGATGGCATATACAGATTAGGTAAAGATATGGGTAAGGCATTATCATTTGTGGCAGATTGTATTTTTGAAATATGGTCACAACAGTATTCATTTTATTCTTCTGCAATATGACCTTGCCACTCCTCTACCAAGAAATAGAGTCCATTTCCTCAGTCTATTGCATCTGGGGAAATCTTTGACTACTGTGACCAACAGAATATGGCAAAGTAACACTGTTAATTCTAAAAATGGCCCTTACGTAGTCCAGCAGTTTCCATTTCCCGTCCCTTAAAATCCAGCTCCACGTAAGAAGTGTCAACATCACATGACCACCATGTTGTGAGAAGTCACAACCATGTGGAGAAACCCTAGAAAGTGAGCTGCCAAGTTGGCAAGGGGCTGTGTGTGTGTGTGTGTGTGTTAAAAGTAGAGGTTAGAAGGCAGGCAACAAACAAGTACATGAAGAAGCCATACTGGAAGTGGATCCTCCTACTAACCACCTCTGCTGGTACTACATGCACAAGAAACAAACTGCCCAGGCACGTTTTTCCCACATTTTAATCCACAAGATTTTAAGAAAAACAAACTGTTTTAAGACCATAAGTTTTCATGTCATGATTATATAACAGAGATAACTAAAATGGCAGCCTTAATAATAAGCCTGTGATTTCTTACTAAAAATGCCACTATGCCTCTAAAATTTGGGGGACAAGTCCCATATGTATATTAGTTCTAATTATAAGGACAAATAAATCATGCCAGACATAATAACTTCATTTGCCACCTTTGGATATGACTATGGGCAAACAGCCAACCCTCAATACAATGCTCTAACCAAAGTAATATTCATGCTTAACACATAAAAGACTGGGATCTTCCTGTACCGTCCTTGATGACAGAACTCTTATTTGGTCAAGTTCATGTTTTAAAGCTTACTAGTTTATCTGATCAGTAAAATACACTGTGTATCAAAGAAATATAATTTCTATTTTTAAATGAAGTGTCTTCTTTTTCCAATCTGTTATGGATTAATAAAACCACTAAGGAGTTGAGTGTCAAACACCCCAGGTGGCCTGGGCACCGAGCCCCTTCCCCACCCCACCCCATGGGCATGCTGAGCAGCCTCTCCTGCTGACCACTGTCTTGTTTGTGGATAAAGTGGCATGTGTCACCCATTCATCACTTGGACATGCTAAATATGCAATTTCTGGTCACTTGTTCCTTGGGTATCGCACAAGATACCCAACTTCAAAGCCCCCAGTTGGAGGGCTGGGCCCGAAGTATGGTCTAAGGAGGAGCTCCTGCCTACAGTTTTGTGTATGTGTGTATCTGTATGCTTGTGTGTGTGTTTGTGTGTGTTCACCTCCACAAGGGATACCCCACACTCAGCGTAAGCTACACTGGGAACAGGACCACCAGGGTGGCTGTCTCTCTCTGTCTCTCCCACTCCTTTACCTTTTGATGTACCAGACATTTGATGGACAAAATAAGGGCCTCAACTAGGACCAAGCTTCTGCGTCTGTTGCTATGGCCTCTACTTAGGACAAAGGTTAACAGTGCTGTTGCTAATGAAACAAAGCTCTGTCTAACAAAAGATTGTGTAGCAATAAAAAATATACTATTCAAAATGAAGGAGCTCCTTTAATAAATAAAGTCTTACAGAAATGTTAAGATTCCAGGTCTAGGACAAGAAAGCAATCACAACTATTAAGATCAAAAGACAAATCAAAAGTTGTCTCCTTAGCCAAATATGAGACAATGTAGCCTTCAATAACGATAATGATTTCAAGGGACTGAACACATCAAATATGTTTAAATTCATGAATTTTTATTTATACTTTGAATGAAGAAAAAATAATTGGTAGCTTTTAGAGAATGCTATGGAATCAATTGACTATTTTGAAAACTAGTAAATTAAGGAAAAGAATCAAACATTTATCCTTCCTTCCTAATCAAACTATCTTGGGTAACAAAATAGTTATTCATGGGAAATTTTTCTTTATAGATGTATTCCAACTAATAAAGAAATGATACATCACCAACTTGTAATCCCTACTGAATTAAGAGACAAAACCATCAATGGCAGCTATAACACTATGAAAGAGAGACTTAATTAGACATGTTTTCTAGTGAAAATGTACAATATACATTAAGAAAGCAAAATACATCTCCTACCTCAGGAGTAAATCTGAAATCAGATCCAATCACATCTCTAGATATAACTATACAAATACATGAGACACACAAACATGTTAATACCACATAGAAGCAATTAACAAACTCTAAACCATAGGAAATTCTATAGAAAAATGACCCAGTTTTAAATGATGCAGAGAAAAAGAGACAGAAAAGGAATCTAAGTAGTGAAACTTAGGTTTCCTAATATTCGTACCTTATTTGGATCTTGACTTAAACCACTATTAAAAATAATTTATAAAATAATCATGAAAATGCAAAAGCTGACAGGATATTTAATGATATTAAGAAATTAATATTTTGGGTGAAATATATTTTATGTCATTATTTTTAAAAATAGATACTGAAATATGTATAGAGGAATTATGAAATTAGAATATTTACTTTAAAATAATCTGGGAGGGGAAAAGAAGAAATTAAACAATTGACCATTAAATTAATGACTATTTAAACTGTGCTGTGTGTATGGACGGTCATTATTTCACTCTTGATACTATTAAATATTTGTATAATTGTCCTTAATAAAAAAATTTTAAATGAAAGAAAATAATTGTACTTTAAAAATTTTGTTTTTTTCTCCTAAATATATATCTTTTGAAACTATTTAATAGTAGCTATAAAAGGTTAAGAAAATTTAGTACTGTATATTACTGTATATGGCAGTAGGAATTATGGTTAAAAATAGAACCCAGTCATAAGAAAATGATAATGTTGAAAATAATTTGTTTAGTCATATAAGCAGTACATATATTATCTTATTAGAAGACCAAAAATCACACGTGCACGTATACCCTGCAATATACACTGTACACCCTGCAATATACACTCACCACTTTCCATCTTTCTTTGACCAGGATTCCAACACTGAGGATATCCGGCTGCTCTCCTCCCCCACTCATTGCAAATCACTGATGTGATAGAACAGCTACACAGGCATCCAGCTCCCAAGGGTGGTTTCCATTTAGACTAAAGCAAAAAGAAACAGCAGCAGCATATCAGGGTTACCTAATTAACACAAATAACATTCCAGTAACAAGAAGCACTACTCATCCTACTTGTTAAATAGGTTGCTTTATTAGAATAAAGATTTAAAAGACAACACAACTCATTCTTAAAAACTGGTGAATGTAAAAAACAGCATTCATCTATTATTGATTCCAGTAAAAATAGTCAAACATTGCAAAAGCTATTAGGCTAAAACAGAGATACAATTCTAGTGAGTAAAATCACTAGAATATGTGGCAAGCATAATATAGTAGCAATTAACCCAGGGAGACCAATATTCCAAGTACAGCAGGTTACTTTTTCAAAAAGACAGTATCTCATTTAAAGCAGCTTTTTAAATATTTGGTTTTTAATGTTATAAAATGCACTAAGAATATATAGGAAATAACCAGAGATGCATTAAAGCTTTCTAATCAAACCCAATACAATGATATAAGAAGTAGCTAAACATAAAATGGATAAAATACCTATAGTAAATGAAGATGCATCAAAAAACACGGCCTAATATTACAGAACAAAATTAAAGATGACTACAATTTTAAAAGAATATAAATCATAAACAAGTTCTTGTATGAGACATGTAGGCAAAAAGAAACCATAAAAAGTAAGCTCAGAGAACTCAGGAAAAGACCATTAATATAACAAAAAGACAGACAGACTCAAATAGAGGGAATATGAGGGCAGATACAGCATGCAAACACAAAGAGAAAAGTGAAAAATTAAAAATATATGTATCTCAACTAAAATAATGAATTTTTAAATTAAAAATGTTTTAAATCCAAAATAAATATACCGTATATACTCGTTTATAAGCCGAGTTTTCCAGAACATTTTTTAATGCAGTTTTTGTGGTAAAATTAGGTGCCTCGGCTGATATTCAGGTTGGCTTATACTCAAGAATATACAGTAATTCCCTACCAAATTAAAACAATAGAACAAACAATGACCACTAAAATTTAAAAAATATTTTCTGAAAAAATTATCACCAAAACATCTTTTAAGCCTACATGTCAAAAGGGTAACCATTTACTTGGTAAAATATAAAAAGGGAAAACCCCCAATGCATGTTGTAGTGACGGTTGTTGGATGCCATCTAACTTACTAGATGTTTATAGTCTGATAAAATGACTGGATTTAAATGGGGAGGGGAGAAAATTAATTCATTGGAAATTTAGAAGTCTAGGTTACTTATAAAGGAAAGGAAAGCTGGCTGATCTAACATTGGCAGCAATAACTAATGCCAAGAGACAATTAATTATATATTTAAGATACCAAGGAAATAAAATGAGTCAAGGATGTTCTATCAAGCTAAACTCGTATTCAAATCTAAACTCATCACCATCTAGCTGATTCTGATTCATAATGACCCCATAAGGGCAATGTAGAACTGCCCCTGTGGGTTTCCACAACTGTAAATCTTTACTGTAAATTTTTCTTCCAAAGTTTCATCTTTCTCCTATGGAACACTTCGTAGTTTCAAACTGCTAACAGCCCAATGAATAATATTGTTCTCACAAACTGCACCTAGGAATCAATTAAAAGCAAGTATCAAGACAATGAAGAAATTATTGTAGGATATTTATCATGAAGAATGAATTTCTGCTCACCAAAAGGGCCTAAAACCAATGATAATGCAGTATTACTTACTGAACACCCCCCTGCCTCTAGATTGTAAACTCTAAACATCATTTCCCTCTAAAAGAAATCAGGGCTTCTTGGAGAAATGGCTCATTAAAGGTTTGATACATGAAATTGTACAAAATGAATCTTGATAAATCAGAAAGAGCAATAACCAAAAATATTATAACCATGTCAAAAAGCTATCAGACAACTGGAAGAATTCCTAAGTGCTAAAGATGAGACCCACCACTCATCTGTCCGTTTGTCGTACTGTGGTGTTTCTGTGATGCTAGAAATTATTCCAGCAGGGTCACCCATGGCGAAGTTTCAGCAGAAAGTGCAGACTAAGAATAGACTAGGAAAAAGAAATAGGATGTCCATTTCTGAGGGAGTAGCCACTGAAAACCTTATGAGCAGTAGCAGAATATTTTCTGATATGAAGATGACCCCCTCAGATTGAAAGACACTAGTGGTAATGAGGGAAGAGCTGCCTCCTCAAAGCAGAAAGGTAGAGTTGATCTTAATGACCAGGATAGATCAAAACTTTTGAGACTTTCATTTGCTGACGTGGAACTACTCAAAATAAGTACAAATAGCTGCAAACAACCATTAATAATAAAAATAGCTGCAACCATTAATGATTCCATAAAAGCATGGAATGTAGAAAAATGAAGCTAAGAAAATTAAAAGTTTTCAAAAGTGAAATGGAACACGTAAAGATAGATAGCCTAGGCATTAGTGAGCTGAAATGGTAATTTCAAAATTAGTATTGGCCATTTGTGTCAGACAATCATAGTAATGCCAGGAATGACAAATTCAAGAGGAATGGGGTTATAATCAACAACAACAACAAACCCATTCCAAGATCTACCTTAAAGTACAATACTGTATGTGATAAGATAATATCTATCTATATTTAAAGTTATACACATCCGTGATGAGGAAACTGAAGACTTTAAGAAACTTCTTCAGTTTAAGACTCATCAAACATGCAGACAAGATATATGATAATTATTGGTGATTGAAATGTGAAAGCTGGAAACAAAGAAAGAATTTTCTTGTTGTTAGATGTCCAAGAGTTGGTTGCGAATCATAGGGATCCTATTTACCACAGAACAAAACACTACCTGATTTCTTGACTGTTGCTTCCATCATAGTTGATTGTGGATCCAATAAAATCCTTGATAACTTCAATCTTTTCTACATTTAACATGATGTTATCTATTAGTCCAAGTAAAAGGATTTTTTTCTTTACATAAATTGCAATCCATATTAAAGGCTTCAATCCTTGACCTTCAATCAGCAAGTGCTTCAAGTCCTCACTTTCAGTATGCAAGGTTGTAAATAAGATTTCCATCATGTTCTTCATAAAGCCATCATCTCAGATTACTTGCTCACCACATAGATTGAATAAGTATGGTGAAAGGATAGAACATTAATGAATACCTTTCTTGATTTCAAATTATGTGGTATTCATTTGTACTGTTCAAATAACTATCTCTTGGTCTATGCATAGGTTCCAAATGAACATAATTAAGATTTTTAAAAATTCCCATTCTTCAAAGGTTATATATATTTTACTGTGATACACACAATTAAATACCCTTGCAGAGTTAATAAAACACAAGTAAACATCTTCCTGGTATCCTCTGCTTTCAGCCAAGTCTCAGCTGACATCAACAATGATACCCCTTGTTCCACATCCACTTCAGAATCAGGCTTGAATTTCTGACAACTCAGTGTCTATGTACTGCTGCAACTGGTTTTCATTTATCTTCAGCTTTACATACATACATACTTTACATACATTTATCTTTATCTTCAGTTTTACATACATATAGTATTAATGATTTTGTTCAATAATTTCCACATTTTGTTGGGTCCCCTTTCTTTAGAATGGGAACAAAAAAGGATCTCTTCAAGTAGGTAGGTTAAGTAGTGTCTTCAGAATTTCTTGGCGTAGACTAGTGAGTGCTTCCAGTGCTGCATCAGTTTGTTGAAATAACATTTCAATTGGTATTCCATCAATCCCTGAAGTCTTATTTGATCATATGCTACTTCTTGTAATGGTTGAATGTCAACTAATTCTTTTTGGTACAGCAACTGTGTTTTGTTCCCAACTTTTTTTTTTTTAATGTTTCCTACATTGTTCAATATTAAATCTTGAGGCTTGGATTTTTTCCTTCAGTTCGTTCAGCTTGGAATATGTTCAGGATGTTCTTTCTTTTTGGTTTACTAACTCCATGTCTTTGCACATTCCATTACAATACTTTGTCTTCTTTCGTCAGCTGCCCTTGAAAATGTTCTATGTGGTTCTTTTCACGTCACTGTTTCAAGAGTTAGTTTCCAGGTCTCTTCTGACATCCACTTTGGTCTTTTCTTTCTTTCCTGCCTTTTAATGGCCTTTTGCTTTCTTCATGGATAATTTTCTTGATGTCATCGCTTAATTCAACGTGTCTTTAATCACTAGTGTTCAATCTGTCAAATCTGTTCTTTAAATTCAAATGGGATATACTCAAGTTAATATGTTGGTTATCATGGTCTTTTCTCAATTTTCTTCAACTTTAACCTGTACTTACTATTGTTGATCTGTTGCAGTCAGCCCCAATCTTTACTTTGGCCACTGATATGTAGCTTCTTCATTGTCTCTTCCCTCAGATGCAGTCAATTTGATTCTTATGTATCCCACCTAGTGAGATCCAGGTGTACCATTACCAATTATGTTGGTTTAAAAATGTATTTGCAATAAAGAAGTCATTAGTGTGGCAAATTTTTATTATGTGATCTCCAGCTTTGTTTCTATTTCAAGTTGGTAGAGGCCTTCAATTTCTCCATGACTAGCTTTTGTGGTTGGTGTGTAAATTTGAATAAAAGTTATATTAACTGATTTTCCTTCTAGATGGGTAGATACTATCCTATCATAGAAAACATTGCACATTTAGATATTGAAATGTTTTTTTATGACAACGATGATGAATGTGATTCTATTCCTCTTGAGTTTGTCACTCTTAGAATTTTCAGTTCATTGATGAAAAACTTTGTTAGGTGCCAATGAATCAGTTTTGACCCATAGTGATCCTATGCACAACAGAAGGAAACACTGCACAGTCTTGTACGGTCCTCACAACTATTCCTATTGTTGTATAGCCCATTGTTGTAGCCTCGGTCAATCCATCTTGTTGTGGGCTTTCTGCTTTTTTTGCTGTCTCTCCATTTTACCAACCATGTTGTTTGTCTCTAGGGACTGGTATCTCTTGATAACATGTCCAAAGTATGTAAGATGGAGTCTTGTTATCCTTGCCTCTAAGGAGCACTCTACTCTGGTCATAAAATTATACTAC